AAACAGTCTGTGAGCACCTAGAAAGGAATGCTGTGATCACCAATAGTCAGCATGGATTTCTGAAAAATAAGTCATGTCAGACTAACCTGATCTCGTTTTTTGACAGAATTACAAGCCTGGTAGATGAAGGGAACGCAGTTCCCATCATTCCTGACCACTGGTCCTGTTAGCTAGGGGTGATGGGAGTTGTAGTCCCAAAACAGCTGGAGGGCCAAGTTTGGCCATCACTGCCTTAACTGTTCCTCATAACCATTTCCAGGCCCCTGATCATCCTGGTCATTCTCCGGTGGACACGTTCCAGCTTGTCAACATCCTTCTTAAATTGTGGTGTGTAGTGGAAATGCGGAAGACAATTGTATTTTGAGGAATTAGGTGGCATGTCCCTTTACCTTTAACACCCTCAGTTTGAGGTCTGCTGGATTCTTGTGTTTCACACACCTGTTGGGAGTTTATTGGGTTCTTCTGTGTTGCAAGTGCTGGCTGGATGCCGGCTGCAGGTAGTGGGAGACTCTCAGCTGCTCTGTATTAATCATGAGTAATGCCCGGTGAACTTGATTACATCAAGGCAGGCTATAAAAGCCGCAGGTGGGAGGGGCCTGGTGAGCTTCTGCCCAGATCAAAGGACCTGATGCTGGGAGACCGACGGTCGGGGTCTTTCTCCTGCTGCTCTACCTGGGGCTCCAGGCAGCTGAAGGGGAAATTGGGTAGCCCCTGTCGGGTATGTTTTATGTTATGCTATGAATGCCTGCTGGGACAGATACAACAGATTACCCAGAGCTGACTGAAAGATTTCAGCATTTTCAAACTCAGCGCGTTCTACTTGCTGACTGTCTTTCATGTAGCTTGTCTCCATGGGTAGCTTGTCTCCATGTAGCTTGTCTCCAGACCCTGTGAACTCTCCACTGTGATCTGATTGAAACCTCTTAACACACAGTGAGAACTGTAACTCAACCGCAGTTATCCAGCCTTTCACCAGAGCTGCAGCTTCTCCCTTGTCCTTCAGTGTGAAAACCCAGCCATTTCGTGAAAAATCATCCACTAGCAAAAGCACAAACTTGGCTCCGCCCAGACTGGCTACTGCCATAGTGCCACACAGGTCTGCACGAACTAGTTCAAAAGTTTTGGTGGTTACCCTGTCAGACCTAGGATAAGAGCACGTTTTTACCTTGGCTTTTTTACAGGCCCTGCAATCAAGGTATTTGTCACATGCCTTCATTTTGCACCCCTCAGTGCACCCAGGGATCTTCTTCACGTAACCCCAGTTCACGTGTGCTAATCTTCTGTGCCTAAGATGCTGACACCCATCATGGGTTGGGACGTTGGCACACAGTGCTTGTGCTTACTCAGTGGGACTTTTACCTGCAACGGCCGTTTCTAGCACAAACAGCCTGTCCTTGCATTTAACACTGACCAGTTGACACCCACCCCTGGAAATTGAACACAAGTTATTTTCAAAACACACTCTGAAACCCTCAGCAACAAGAGCAGAAACAGAAAACAGACACCAAGTCATCTCTGGAACGACGTAAGCTTGAATCTCCTCCTGTAAAAAAGAACAATACAGAGAGTCAGACATGGTTAGTTCACGTTTGTATCCATCTGCAAGAGAAACAGTGTGTCCAGTTTTCACAGCCTTGCAGTTCTGCAGCAAACCCCCAGATGGCACCAGGTGATGCGAAGGTCCACTGTCAATCACCCAATTCAGCATGTTGCTCTGGTCGCAGCTGGTCTCTGTTACCATGGAAGCCACCAGATGATGCTGTGAGGACATGTCTCTGCCAGCTCCCTTGGAACTTTTGCAAGGCTTCCCATGCTTCGCAGCTGCCGTTATCTGATTACTATGGGAGATGGCCTTGAAGCCTTCCAGGGCCTCCACTGGACAGTCTTTTACAAGGTGGGAAAGAGACCCGCATCTGAAACAACACCTGGAGGAAAAAGCTTTCACTTTTTCTTCACTTCTCCCTTCACTGCTCGCCCTCCAGCTGTCTGCCTGTGTTGCTCCTTACTGCAAAGTCTCCCCGCAATAAAGTCCAGATCCAGCTGTGCAGCCGACATAGCTTCCAGGGTCAGAACTAAATTCTCATAGCTCCTGTCCAATGAGCTCAGCAGAATGTAGACCTTAAGCTCTTCAGAGAAAGGTACATTCAGCTGCCAGAGCCTATTAAAAGTAGCTAGCATCTGTGTGATGTGGTCTCTCACAGACAGCCCCCCCGGAGCCAGTTTCATCTCAAAAAGACTCTGTGTCACGTGGATTTTGGCTCCTGCTGTTGTGCAAAGGTGCACACATTCCAGGGTGTCCCACACGGCTTTGGACATTGTTAGTCCATCAACATGAGGCAATTGGGAAGAGTCTAGGCAAGCACTATATGAGCCATTGTCCTCTGGTCCCTACTTACTGCAGCAGCATCTCTGGAAATCACAGCAGCAGCTGTCCCAGCAGCTGCCGGAATGGGCTCATTCTGCATACAGTCCCAAAATGCTTTGCCTATAAGCCAATATTTCACTCTTTGGGACCAGTCCCCCCAGTTGCGCCCATTAAGTCTCTCAAAAGGGAGAGTGAATGCTTCTTGAGCCTGAGCCTCTGCCATCTTCTCCCCCGGGGCTAAGCTTACTCATGCTTTCTGCCAGCTGGTTCCTTCGAAGATGCTTCCTTCAGCAGGCTCCTTCCTTCACCAGAGAGTTCACTACCTTGCTCTAAGCACACAGCAGCAGGTAGGATCTCAAAGCTGGACTGCAGCTCTGCAGCTCTTCACACACATGGCACAAACATGGCTGCATAACAACAAAACCTGTGGAGGTCCAGTACTCTTCCCTGCACACAGCTTGGCCCGGACTTGTATCAGAGTGTGCACAGTGCGTGCCGCTTGGTGTGTAAGCTTGCAGAAGACAGATTCCACACGGTGTTGATCTAAACTAAAAAGCTTTATTGTACGTACAGCAGAGCAGCAAAAATAAACACTCCATCCAAAGCAGCAGACATTGCGACTTGCCTGCCTCGGCAGAAAACGAAAGTCAGACAGAACAAAGAAACGCTTCTCTGGAAGTGGAGAAAGCTCCTCCCCAAAACAGGCAGGACATTGGACTCTGAGCTGTTAACCCTGTAAGCTCTGATTCCCCTCCCATAGATGTCATACACATAGTATACCCCTGTATCACCCGTTCCACCTTTGGAACTACCTGCAACAGGACTAGCCTTGGGCCTTACCACCTTGCACTTCTGGTTACCCTCCTTCCATGGGACTAGAGCTCTAGTTCTGTTCCTCTCTGAGGAAGCAGTGTCTACCCTTACAGCCTTTGGGCGTGGTTTCCCGTCCTTTGAGGACAAACCTTGTACCTCTTTCAAGACTTTGGGTTCCAAGACCTGCATCAAGCTACTAGCCGCAGCTAAATCTGCAACAACTGTGTTAGCAAACTTGCACGCATACCTGGTGAGTCTCTCACCCTTTGTTGCTCCTTCTGATCTGCGTATCAGGCGCATGCCCTCCACTGTATCAGTGGAACTCACCTCAGTATTCTCCATGTCACTGTCAACGTCAGATTCTACATCTGAGTCATCATCAATGGGATAGCTTTGGAAAATACCCCCATTCCCTCCCCCCTCCATTTTGCAGTGTACTCAACATCCCTGTGTCTGTTAGAAATGATGACAACTTCCCTTCCTTAGAGAGCTCAATCTTTCTTGCAGGGGTGCGAGGTGAAGGTGGGTGCTCTTGTTTGCCTCTGGTGCCAATGCTGGAAGCGACCGCTGTGTTTCAACGCCAAATCAAACTTGGATAATGTCCATTTCCATGCTGTCATGGTTGAGCAGTGAGCTATGTACCAGGAAGGACAGAGAAATGGGACTTGGCAGGTGGAATCAATCGATGTCTTTATGTTTTCAAGATAGCAAGCTGTTTCAGTCCCCTGCAGCTAGGGGAGTGGAGAGACTCTGCTCAGTTTGAAATTAAAGATGAACCTACCTGGTTTGTTTGTTTGTTTACCACATTTATATCCCACCTTTTTCTCCACCGAGCTAAAGGTGGTGTGCAGAGTTCTCATTTGATCCCTGCAACAACCCTGAGAGGTAGGTTAGGTTGAGAGGCAGTGAGCTTCATGGGCGAGTGTGGGATTTGAACTCGGGTCTCTCTCAAGTCCTGGCCAGGCATTCTGACTACTACATCACACTCATCTGCACTTTCCTAAACAACCCACAAACCAAAACACAGCCCTCCTTCAAAATCCAGAGTTGTCTGAGTTTTGGAATGCGATACTCCAGCCGCACGATATGTGCAGAAATGCAAACACTGGGGTAAAGTATGCAAAAAAAAAGTATATATTATGCTTTCTATCAGGTAAAAGTGGTTTGCGGGGGGGGGAGTATATTAGGCAAAAATGCACTGGGGAAAAATGTGTGCGTTGGGAGAAATTTGCACCAAAATATCAACAAATTTTCATGAGGACTTAAAAATAATGCAGACTGACGTGGAAATGTGGAGAACATAAAATCAGAGCTGGAAAAAGATCAACAGAAACAAAGTGGTGTGTGGGTGAAAAAACAGAGTCCCATTTCTACTGAAAAGAAAATACCTCCAACAAATGAAGGACGTTCTGAAGCTGTCATAAAAAGCCCTTCCTATAATTCTGAAGGGAATGTAAGCAATCCATTTTAAATTCTTATATTGCAATGCTTCCACAGCCAGACATTTCTTAGCAAAAATGCAGGGACTGTTCAATTGTACAGGGAGCTTTATACTACTTTATACTACTATACTAACATAGTAAGTCCCACTATGTTCAATGGAGCTTACTCCCAGGTAACTGGGTAAAGACTGGCCAGCCTTACACTGCAGTCCTGAGCATTCTTACTCAGAAGTAAGTCTGACTGAGTTCAATAGGATTTACTCTTTGATATGTTCCTGAACATCATCATTCTTCTTCTTCTTCTTCTTCTTCTTCTTCTTCTTCTTCTTCTTCTTCTTCTTCTTCTTCTTCTTCTTCTTCTCTGCCTTTTTCCCTGACAGGGGCTCCAGGCAGATTACAGCCAAACTTTTCTTTCTTTCCATTTATCTGTGGAAGGCAAAAAAAAAATTCTTTACAACAATTTGGCAAGGGAGGTTTGGCAGATATGTTGCAATTGGCTCAAGGCAATCAATGTAGGTGTGTGCCTGGTGCCTAGGTGTTCAGTGAGATCAAACACAGAAGAAACTTCCTGATGTCCCTAGAGAATGTCCCTATTATTATCAGATAAATGTTGGAGGGTATGTTAAGATGTTTGCAGAAGTGGCAAGGGGTGTCTTTTGAGCACACGGTTTATCAGATCCTTCCTCAATGCTGGATATTTTCATTTGGGTTTCCTGGTCATTCTTCTCCCGAGTTTCCGTATGGATCACTGCTCAGCCATGGAACTCCCAAATGGCCAAGATGTGCTTTTGGGTTCAGTAGTTCTTCCTGATGACAGGGCCACATGCACTTACGGCTCCCTGCCTGCTCATTTATGAAAGATTCAGGACTATATCATATCCTTTAGACAAGCCTTCCCCTCTCTCTGGACAATACAGCCTAATGGGCCACCAGGTGAGTAACTTTCATAGAACGGGCCAGCACCCACACAGATACCTTTGGATAGCCCCTCAGCAGATGATGAAGGTGATGTCCTTGTGTCCTTGTTGTCTGTCTGTGGTGTCTGGTTCTCTCTGAAAAAGAAGCTCTTTTGATTTGCGGTGACTAACGGAAATTAGAGGTGGGGACAATTATTCATAATGTGATCTCATGCTTACTTTTAAATATATATAGTTTTAAAAATAAATAAATTTGTAATTGCCATATATTTTTGCAATAGACATTTCCATCCATTCTCGCGGGAGTGAGATGCTGAAGGTGACATCACTTGCAGAAATATAAGAGGCCCCTCACCCAAGCGTCGCTTGTGCTAGAGAAATTTATCTTGTTGTGTTTTTATTTTGCAATTTTGCAATTCTTCAAACTGGCTCCTCGTTTTGCGCAACGTAGTGCTGAAAATTAACGTGGGTTTTGTGCTGAGAGAATGATGGGCTGTGTGACATTTATAAGAAGCCTTGATATCAATTACGTACATATAACACATGGTATAATGTAATCAGGGCTGTCTTAAGCATATGCGCTGGGGTGCAAAGATATGCCTGGCATCGCCGCCCCCAGGTTGCCCAGTCCCAGGCGTTCAGGAGGACGGAGTTGGCTGGCCACCTCAGCGTCTCTCTGGCTCGGTCGCCCCCAAACTCATGGTGCACAGCAGCAGAAGAGCCTGCCACAGCGCTCCGACTGACGGGCGAGCTCTTCCCCAGACTCAACTCTCAGGCCCCAGACTCTTGGCCTGGCGCCCCTGAGAGACCAGCGCCCAGGTGCCCCGCACCCCTGGCACTTATGGTTAAGACGGCCCTAAATGTAATGGCTATGGCAGCTATTTGCATCTCCTGCCATATCAGCCTGCCCAGTAGGGGTGTCATTGTCCCACTAGCAAACCTAGCTCACTATGTGGTGTCCCAGGGCAGGGCCTTTTCGGTTGTGGTGCCTCAGCTTTGGAACTTCACTAACCACCCAGAGGTATGGATGGCCAAATCTTCATGGGCCAAGTAGCAGTCTAATCTGCGCTCCTGGGCCTTTTAAATGTATTCTGGCGGAGAGGGGGGCATTTATTGGTTTGTTTTTGTTCTTATTTTTACTATGTATTTTGTGCTTTTTATATGATCATTTGTTGTTGTGAACCATCGTTAGATCTGTGAACGAAGGGCAATACAGTGGACGCTCGGGTTGTGAACATGATCCATGCGAGATGCACGTTCGCAACCTGCAGTGTTCGCAACCCGTACACGCACACACGCGGGTTGCAATTTGGCGCTCCTGCGCATGTGCAAAGCACAATTTAGCATTTCTGTGCATGCGCAACCCCCAAAACCCGGAAGTAACCCGTTCTGGTACTTCTGGGTTTTGGTGGGTCTATAACCTGGAAAAATGCAGCCACAAAATGCACAATCTCCTCCACAAATATGCAGGGGAGAGAGAGTTCCATAGTTTAATGAAGTTTTCCCTGTCCTGAACCTTCCAACATTCAGTTCATTTAATGCCCACATGTGTTTCAAAAAAGCATTTTCCTTCTCACATCCTCCAGCAGCGTGTTGTTGCAGACCAGTCATGTCCAAAGCCCATTTCAGAGGCTTAATCTGGCCCCCGTGGCAGTATATGTCCTGTGGTAAAACCCTTTAAAAAATGTAAAAAAGCTCAACAACTTTGGTCGGCCCTCATACATGTTCACTTCATCAAATCTGGCCCTCTTTGAAAAATAATTTGGGCACCCCTGGTGTAGACAGTCCCTTGAGAGCCAGTGTGGTGTAGTGGTTAAGAGCGGTAGTCTCGTAATCTGGGGAACTGGGTTCGCGTCTCCGCTCCTCCACCTGCAGCTGCTGGGTGATCTTGGGCTCCTCACACTTCTTTGAAGTCTCTCAGCCCCACTAACCTCACAGAGTGTTTGTTGTGGGGGAGGAAGGGAAAGGAGATTGTTAGCTGCTTTGAGACTCCTTTGGGTAGTGATAAAGCGGCATACCACATCCAAACTCCTCTTCTTCTTCTTCTTTCTAAGCAAGAGTAGTGGAGTCCAATAAATTCTAAACCAAATTTATTCAGCACATCCCCTCCTGCGGTTTCTGGCAACTGGTATTCAGTGCCATGTTGTGGCGTTGGACAGGCGAGGTAGAACATCAGAGTAAATAGCCATCAAAAGCCTTGGCCTCTGTGAATTTGTCTAATCCTATTGGGGGAGCGAGTTCCATAGTTTAGTGATGAACTGCATGAATCTGTCCTGAATCTTCCAACATTCAGGTCCGTTTAATCCCCACGAGTTCCAGTGTGATGAGAAAAACCTGTCCCTCTCCACTTTCTCCATGCCTTAATAATAAGCAGGTGGTCTTCCCAACAGCTGCCATCCCATCTCTCACAGCTGGGGAGCTGCTCCTCAGTTAGTAGCCTTCCTTATGTTTGAAGTAGGGGGTTTTCATCACGAGTTGTGCGAACAAGGACTGCCTTTCGTCTGCTGCAGACTTGTTGTCCATTAGAAGAAGAAGAAGAAGAGTTTGGATTTGATATCCCGCCTTTCACTCCCCTTCAGGAGTCTCAAAGCGGCTAACAATCTCCTTTTCCCTTCCTACCCCACAACAAACACTCTGTGAGGTGAGTGGGGCTGAGAGACTTCAAAGAAGTGTGACTGGCCCAAGGTCACCCAGCAGCTGCATGTGGAGGAGCGGAGACGCGAACCCGGTTCCCCAGATTACGAGACTACCGCTCTTAACCACTACACCACACTGGCTCTCTAACTCCATTAGGTGACTTCTTCTTTTGGCCGGCCACCCGTAACCTTTCTATCAATAGATGACAGATCTAGTAAAGGGACCCCTGACTATTAGGTCCAGTCGTGGCCGACTCTGGGGTTGCGGCACTCATCTCGCTTTACTGACCAAGGGAGCCGGCGTACAGATTCCAGGTCATGTGGCCAGCATGACTAAGCTGCTTCTGGCAAACCAGACCAGTGCATGGAAATGTCATTTACCTTCCCTACGGAGTGGTACCTATTTATCTACTTGCACTGCATGCTTTCGAACTGCTAGGTTGGCAGGAGCAGGGACCGAGCAACCTTTCTAACAATAGATGACAGATCTTGTTGTCCATTAACTCCATTAGGTGACTTCTGGCCTGCCACCCATAACCTTTCTATCAACAGATGACAGATCTAGAGGATACGATAAAATGCACGATCCCATTTCACAGATCTCAGGAGTCTCTTCTTTTCTTCTCTCTCCTCAGGTGCCAATGGGACGCATCACTTTCTTCCACCTCTCTATTTGGGGCTTCCTGATTGCCTGCTCCTTTCCGCAAGGTACATCCCAACTGGGCTCCTCAAACCTGGACTGGGAGAAGCCAAGCAGAAAGCAATCCTTAGGAGAAAAGGCATGGCTCATGAGGCAAATCCCAGTAATATAGATTAGAAACATCATTCAGAGGACGAAACGGGGGCACCAAGGCTCGCTCGCCCTTCCTTCCTTCCTTCCTTCCTTCCTTCCTTCCTTCCTTCTTGATTGGTTTTCACCTATTACATTACAATACCAATGTACCAAAGCTAGCACCATTTCCTCCCCATCGCCCCAGACATTTACATTTATATTTCCTCGATCCATCATATTATTCTTTTCTCCCTCTTCCCGCTTCCCTCCGCCCCCACTCAATTTTCTCCACATTATACAATTTACAATAATCTTTGCATTCTACAGTCTTCTCAAGTCATCTATATATTCTTATTATCTTTCCTTACTAATTTTTCTTCCATCCAGTACTTCACATTTTAATTTAGGCATATTAGCATATCTTTTTTTGAGCAATATTTTGCCAACCAAGGCTCTTTTTCAGCCAGAATTTCCAGTTTCAACCCTCAGTCCTGGGTGAACAGCCCCCTCCTGCTAATAATCTGGATTGTGGATTCATCTCGTAGAGATCTCCTCCCCAAACTGACCTTTATAATCTTTTCCCTCTTCTCTGGCAGGCACAGAAGCATCAGGCTGCCCTCAGAATTGGTTCAGGTTTCAGGGACATTGTTATTTATTAAGAAAAGTGAAGCGGAACTGGAATGATGCAGAGGTAATGAAAGATTCTCGGAAGCCCCGTGTTGCAAATTCCTCAAGACACCATGTTTGGTGTCAGAGAGACAGACAGGCACACCCATGCAGAACTTCACTAGTGATCTCCCTTCCCTGCTGATGCATAAGACCTGCTTGGTGATGTACAAAAATACAATATATTAGGGGGAAACACTTGCAAAAAAAATGTGTTTCTTAGAGGAAACTTGCAATAAAGTGCTGGTGAATTTTCATGAGGATTAAAACAAACAAACAAACAAACAAACAAACCCCCAAACTGATGTAGAAATGTGGAGTTGCAAAAAGGAGAAACTGGGGATATCAAAATGGAGAAAGGAGGAATAAAAAAAGGAGAAATCAAACAATTTCCACGGGGACTTCTTCTTTAATAAACCAATCAAAGGGATGTGGAAATCTGGTGGCGCTAAACTTAATATTGGAAAAATGAAAAATTGGGGGAAATCAAAATGGACAGTTTCACCTCCACCTAGTAAGCACACAAAGAGCACCTGTTGAACCAGGGAAAGGATTCTAAGTACACCTGCCCTCCATTTATTCCCCACCTCGGATCTCTCTTTCTGGCCTTAGATGCCATCTTTGAGAGAAGCAGAACCAATAACTGTCTTGATCACACTGCTTTGTATATCCCTGGCACCTGGTACTGCAGATCCATCCATGGTTGTGAAGTCACAGTGATCTACACAAAAATCTTATCGTTGTGCTGTGGTCCTTGCACAATCCTGCTTGGGAAATCTTACAGGAGCCGCTCGATGCAACCAGGCAGCTTGCCCTCACCTGCAGGGTAAAACCCCTTATTCTTTTCTCTCCCAGGCAGACTGCCAAAGGTTTGGGACTGACAGCCACCTGGCCTCCATCCTTAACTGGGAAGAGCACAGGTATATAGCCAGTGCTATAAGACAAGGCAAAGACCCTGGATTCCACATCTGGATTGGGTTGTTCAGAGTCAAACGCGGTGGAAGGGTAAGTAAAGGGGGCAGCCTCTGCTTTTCATTTGCCTCTGGCTGGAAACATCAGCCTGCAAGCACACAGAGGAGCAGTCCAGAAGACGAGAGCTCTGAATTCCACGGCTTTAAAACAAAAAAGTTCATAAGGCTTGTTCAGCTAATACACACTGGACTTAAGGTTGTCATGCACTTGCTAACTGGCATATACCTTCCAACATTTCTCCTGTGATTTTAGGGACATCCTATCCCATTATTGTTGGGACGCGGGTGGCACTGTGGGTTAAACCACAGAGCCTAGGACTTGCTGATCAGAAGGTCGGTGGTTCAAATCCCCGCGATGGGGTGAGCTCCCGTTGCTCGGTCCCTGCTGCTGCCAACCTAGCAGTTCGAAAGCACGTCAAAGTGCAAGTAAATAAATAGGTACCACTCCAGCGGGAAGGTAAACAGCGTTTCCGTGCGCTGCTCTGGTTCGCCAGAAGCGGCTTAGTCATGCTGGCCACATGACCCGGAAGCTGTACGCCGGCTCCCTCGGCCAGTAAAGCGAGATGAGCGCCGCAACCCCAGAGTCGGCCACGACAGGACCTAATGGTCAGGGGTCCCTTTACCTTTACCTTTTATTCCATTATTATCATCAGTGCTTTTTTCTTGGGGGGACGCAGGGGTACGCATACCCCTAAACATTTTGTGAATCTAAGTTTGGCCTCATTGAGGGGCAGCGAAGAGTTGGACACGACTAAACGACTAAACAACAACAACATTTCAATATGAGTAGGAGAATGAGAGTACCCCATAACATTTCCTTTAGAAAAAAGCAGGGATGATGATGTTGATGGTGGTGGTGATTTACACCCCTCCCCATCTGTCTGGGTTGCCCCAGCCACTCTGGGCAAGTTCCAACAAGTATGAAACATAACAGGGCTGCCTTCAGATGTTTTCTAAAAGTTGTAGAGTTATTTATATCCTTGGCTTGGGGAGTGGGGAGTCGCTTAACTCCATACCCTCCGGCATTTCTCTGATGAATGTCCTAAGGGATGTCCTAAGGCAGGGGTCAGCAAACTTTTTCAGCAGGGGGCCGGTCCGCCGTCCCTCAGACCTTGTGGGGGGCCGGACTATAATGGGGGGGGGGAATGAGCGAATTCCTTTGCCCCACAAATAAACCAGAGATGCATTTTAAATAAAAGCACACATTCTACTCATGTAAAAACATGCTGCTTCCTGGACCATCTGCGGGCCGGATTTAGAAGGCGATTGGGCCAGATCCGGCCCCCAGGCCTTAGGTTGCCTAGGTAAAGGTAAAGGGCCCCCTGACCATTAGGTCCAGTCGTGGCCGACTCTGCCGTTGTGGCGCTCATCTCGCTTTACTGGCCAAGGGAGCCGGCGTACAGCTTCCGGGTCATGTGGCCAGCATGACTAAGCTGCTTCTGGCGAACCAGAGCAGTGCACGGAAACGCCCTTTACCTTCCCACCAAAGTGGTACCTATTTATCTACTTGCACTTTGAGGTGCTTTCGAACTGCTAGGTTGGCAGGAGCAGGGACCAAGCAACGGGAGCTCACCCCATCACAGGGATTCAAACCACCGACCTTCTGATCGGCAAGTCCTAGGCTCTGTGGTTTAACCCACAGCGCCACCCGCGTCCCTTATTTAGGTTGCCTACCCATGTCCTAAGGAAAAGCGGGACATTCCAAGATCAATGGCGCAGGATCAAATAAGGAAACAGGGACATGGAGGGTCTGAAGTAGCCAAATGGATATAGCTACACTGCAGTCGGGGTCTCTCCTGCCTCTCATCCCAAGAGTCCTTGCTGCTCCTTGGAGGCTCGCTCTGCTGCTCCTGTAGATTCTGCTGCCCGAGGCTGACATGGCCCCATGTGTGGGCCACAGAAGTCTTGGTGGTCTCTTATCCTCAGAGCTATCCACTTGTATGTGTGGTGTAGTGGCTAAGAGTGGTAGACTCGTAATCTGGTGAACCGGGTTCGCGTCTCCACTCCTCCACATGCAGCTGCTGGGTGACTTTGGGCCAGTCACACTTCTCTGAAGTCTCTCAGCCCCACTCACCTCACAGAGTGTTTGTTGTGGGGGAGGAAGGGATTGTGAGATGCTTTGAGACTCCTTCGGGTAGTGATAAAGTGGGATATCAAATCTCCTCCTCCTCCTCCTCCTCTTTCTTGAAATAGGTTTGGGGTCCTGAGCGTCTGAATGTTTTATTTCTGCTTGAGAATTAGGGAGGACATCAAAGGGCCCTGGTTCTTCCTCAGCTGAGACCCTGTCTCTTTTGGTTGTCTCCACAGATTACAGTGTGGAAATGGACTGACAGTGCTGTGGTCGGCTATATGCCCTGGGGGCCTGGACAACCTTCCTATTCTCACAGACAAGAATTCTGCATCGAGTTGTACGGCGCAGGTGAGGAAGAGGGTTCCAGGATCTTAAGTTCCATGGGGATTCTGGGAGGGCTTCCTTGAACCTTGTTTCCATGCTTCTGATAACAAGTTATTCATGTTTTGCCTGCTAAGAAAGAAAGAAAACAGAGTCAACAATGTGAACCCAAGAACTGTGCCCACCTCGCGGGACATTTTGTGGCTGGTTAGGAGGAAGACTAGCTAGACTGGGTCATAGGTGGGCAACTGGATCAGACATGGGGATGGGATGGTCACCTCACCCCCTCACTTCTATGGGCCAACTTTTGACAGGGTTAGACATCTTTACATGCTCCTCACCTGACATGGTACATGATACCAGGGGTAGGAGAGGTGGACATGGTTTGGCCAACATGACCTTGTAGGCTAAATGGGAAACCTAGTAGGCCAAATCTGGTCTGCAGATTTCTGGTTCTCCACAGATATCATAGGTGGTCCTACTCTGCTTCCTTCTGTCTCCTGGAGCCCTCACCACAAAACAGCAGTACTGTATATTGTCCTCTGAGGGGTGGGGAATCTTCAACCTTTCTCCTGTCACTGGGTGAAATTTATTTATGCCCCCCACCAGACCTGGGCTGTCTTTCTCCAAAACAGCCTTAGAATTCCTACAGAACAATTCAGAGTAGTGTTTAAAGGGGACCGTGAGGTTTGTATGAAATGAAGATAAAAGTTTCCTAAAAGAAAAACGAAAAGTTCTGCGTTACTAGCATAGAAGCAGCAAGTCAATTGTAGAGTTGGAAGGGACCCACTGGGTCAAGTCACTGACCAGATACTGTCTGTGGCCGCATGACTTGCGACTCACAAGTTAGAGCAGGGGTCCTCAAACTTTTTAAACAGGGGGCCGGTGGAGACAAAGGTAGGTTTGAGCAAACAAAGTGTCAGCGATGTTCCACACAAAAGCAGGAAAACAATACAAAGTTTAGATGAGAACAATTTCATAAACATAAACTTGTGAGTATTTCAATGAAGCATGGCCTGCTTTTGGGTAAGAGCTGATCAACATCCGTTCCATATCTATCACTGCTAGTGTAGCAGTGTTCATCAGAGATCTGCCAGTACGACCAATTCGAACTTTGATCAAACTGGTACCTCTGTTGATATCTACAGGCAGCCTGGATACAGAGCAACTCGAAACAGTACTGAGAACTTTGCTTTGGACAGAACTGGAATCGCGTTCTGCTGCAGGAGGCTCCATTAGCTAGAGCTGGTACCTCAGGTTCTGCAATTTTTGGGTTATGAATGGACCTCCAGAACGATTAAGTTCTAACTGGTACCACTGTACGCTGATTTTAAGTGCCACTGTAATGTGCTGAACTACAGCACTACTGAATACTGAGACAGAGAGACAGAGAGGAGTGGAGGAGCATGAGGGTATCCTATTCAGTTCGGCCTACAGTGAATGCCAGCTTCAGTGCTGAAGGCAAAGCAGATTCTCGCTGGAGAGATCGAGCTGTCCCCCTGCAGCTAGACACTGCCTTTGGTTTGCATGGTTACGTAAACAAAGATAAGAAGCCTCGAGGGTCCTCTTAGTGCGGGAGAGAGGTCTTTGATGAAGGACCCCCAACAGTCGGAAGCGAGAGGAACGCGGATGCCTCTCCACGGGGCTGCTGGCCTTACCTGACCAGTATAAAGTAAGCAGCACATAAGCAGCACACAAAACACTACCAAACCGTTCTACTTCCAAATCTTATATTAATAATCCAAAAATTGAGAGAGCTAGGTACAAGATCTACTACAGAAGCCACAAACAGAGAACTCATTCCAATTGTGTCCAAAAGGAAGATTCAGTCTTTAAAGTTCCTTTAGCCAGGCTCCTGTAGATATCAACAAAGGTAGGTTTGAGCAAACAAAGTGTCAGCGATGTTACACACAAGAGTTAGACAGGGTGCCAGCGTTTGTCACCTGTTTCTAACTCTTGTGCGTAACATCACCGACACTTCGTTTGATCAAACTTATCCTCGTTGATATCTAACCCTTGAGCACAACATCGCCGACACTTCGTTTGATCCGCCACCTGCTCCCTGGCTGGGCGCCACTCCCTAGGAGGCTGAACACGAGCTCGCGAACCTGGCTCCCTGCTCAGCGCCCACCAGCTCCAAATATCCCTGCTCCGGGAACCCTACAGCTCCCATCTCCCTGCAATGGATTATGGGATAGTGGGAAGGGGAAGGGGGCATGGCCGAGACGAGCCTGCTTTCACGGTGCATTGTGGGAAACACCGCGCCGGGTTTACCTCATCGCATGGAGACTGACTGAGCGGGCGGCCTGCGGGCCAGATTTACGAGCCTGGCAGGCCGCATCCGGCCTGTGGACCGTAGTTTGAGGACCCCTGAGTTAGAGGGTGGCAATTCTTAGCCAAAAGCAGTGCCTACATGGTCGCAAACCCTGAATAGGCCAAGTTTAATGAGTTAACTCCACAATCCCCAAATCTACTCAAATGCAAAATTTCAGTTTATATACAGCTCGGAGCATTTTCTTTTCACATTCATAGCCGTGTAGGACACAGCCAGGAACAGAGTACTGCAAAAGGTATTCAGGGTGACCGGCAAAGAGCTGTGGTATCATAATTTGTATACCAGTTTGAATCCTGCTCCCTATTACTCTCAACTCGGAGGCTTATGAGACTGTGGGTGCATTATTTTTTCTTTAAAAGATGCCCGATTTTTTAAGAAGATCCATTCAAATCTTAACCCTCCCAGTTAAGTGGGCAGGTTAACCTATATACCTAATATATCTGTGGGTATACAAATTTAATAGATAATTATAATATCACAAAAAAATGATCAGTTACAAATTCATCTTAGATCAGATTAGATCAATACGCAAAATTAAGTGGGCATGAACTATAACGTCAAACTGATTTTTAAAAGTTCACGATCAAGAAGCCCACATTTACTTACTTGCTAAGAAGAAAGCAAAGCACGTCAAAACTAACATTGCAAGGGTTGGACTTGGGGTCCCTAGGGGTCCCTTCTGACTCTACTTTCTCTGATCCCGGGACAGCCCCTCTTTCAACTGATCCATTTTGGTTTCCCAGTTTAGAAGGATGAGCCGGGAGGAGGTGACGAAGGGCCGTGACTTCTAATGCTTCTCCTTCCCTGTTTTTCTAGAATACATGTTCTGGGACGACAATAGTTGCGAGGCAGAGAACTATTACATCTGTAAAATCCCGGTGTCGTGGTCTTCGGACAACCGTTCGGCAAAATGAGTGCCTTGGAGAACGGGGATTAAGGCCCTTCCATGGAAGCCCAAGTCCTTCTGTCCCAACTGCAACACCCCACCCCAATTCTGTAGCAGCCCCTACATTCATGAGAAATCAATAAAGAAAGTCTCCTCCACGCCTGCCTCTGTCTCCTTGTGTCTGTTCGTGGCGCTGCTTGCCAGGGATGCCAGAGGGGTCCGTCAGCTGCAGAGGCAGACACAGCCCACATCAATTTCTTTGAGCATATTTGGAAGGGAAGCGAATCCATGAGAACATGGGAATGGCCTGCTGGATCAGGGCCACGGCCCCCTCTGGTCCAGTGTCCTGTTCTCACAGTGAGTGGCCAGTGTCAGGAGCTCGTCCTACACTCGAGTAGGACCCTGACAGAGACACATGCCCGACTGGCATGTTCTCTCCCTCCTGGTCGATCGTTCGGGAGCTTCAAAAGCTTTCTTCACTTCCGAACATCACAGCGACCGATGCCAACAGACATCGGCACGCTTAGGGATCTGCAGAGTCTTCACAGCTTGCATAACAGACCTCAGCAACTCAGCATTTTGGCTAATCTACTTTGTTTACATATAAACACACACGGAGCACTGCAACATGGCTCCCTCTCTCTCTCTAGCATCAGACAGCAAAGAGAGAGAACAAAGGACATTGTCCCACTTCACGGAACACAGTAACATAAACATCCTGTCTCCGTCACTTCCCACTCTGTGGAGTCAAAACCTACACCGTCATGTGATAGACAACAATCCCATGACTGCAATCACGGAGCAGGAATTCTAACAGCCAGATGCCCAATAGGAAACCAGCAAGCGGCATCTGAACACAAGACCGTTCTCCCCTCCTGCTGTTTCAAGCAACTGTGATTCAGAATCTTGGCTGCCTCCAACTGCGGAGGTCAGAGCAGAGCCATCGTGTCCATCCCCAGCCCTCTCCTCCATGAGTTTGCCTAATGCTTTTATTATTTTTATTTTTTATTAAAGTTATAAAATTACCCGTAATTGGAACGAACGCCAATAATTTAAGACTTTGGAAAGTTAAAATGGCAACAGGCTAAAAGCAAGGTTAAAACTTGCACCAGCTTCCCGAACAACTGGGTGGGCTTCTCAATAATAATAATAATAATAAAAGGTAAAGGGACCCCTGACCATTAGGTCCAGTCGTGGCCAACTCTGGGGTTGCGGCGCTCATCTCGCTTTATTGGCCGAGGAAGCCGGCGTACAGCTTCCGGGTCATGTGGCCAGCATAACTAAGCCGCTTCTGGCGAACCAGAGCAGCGCACGGAAACGCCGTTTACCTTCCCGCCGGACTGGTTCCTATTTATCTACTTGCACTTTGACGTGCTTTTGAACTGCTAGGTTGGCAGGAGCAGGGACCGAGCAACGGGAGCTCATCCTGTTGCGGGGATTCGAACCGCCGACCTTCTGATCAGCAAGTCCTAGGCTCTGTGGTTTAACCCACAGTGCCACCCGTGTCTAATAATAATAATAATAATAATAATAATAATAATAATAATAATTTATTATTTCTGCCCTGCCCATCTGGCTGGGTTTCCACCGCCACTCTGGGAGGCTTCCAACAAAAGATTTAAAATACATTAAAACATCAGTCATTAAAAACTTCCCTAAGCAGGGCAGCCTTCAGATGTCTTCTAAAAGTCAGGTAGTTGTTTATGTCCTTGACATCTGATGGGAGGGCGTTCCACAGGGCGGGCGCCACTACTGAGAAGGCCCTCTGCCTAGTTCCCTGTAAGTTTGCTTCTCACAGGGAGGGAACTGCCAGAAGACCCTCGGAGCTGGACCTCAGTGTCTGGGCTGAATGATGGGGTGGAGATGCTCCTTCAGATATACTGGGCCTTCAGGAATCCTTCAGGTATATGCTTCTTTAGGTATACTATTTTTAGCAGTCACAGAAAGGGGTTTGGTGAAGGCTCTTGCCCAAGTGGAACGGGTGATTATGTGGCACTGGTTAACTGTGCCAGTTGCACTGATGGATGCAGCCGAATGGGCCTTTGTGGGGCTAGAGGATCTAGGAGGTAAATTTATAGCTAACTAATTGCAGGGTCCAGTTGCCTCTTAAAGAACTCAGACAAGAAACTGCAAAATGGTTCCAGAATGTGCTGGTCTACAAAGGAAGTGCAGTTATCATTGGATTCCCACTCTAAGTCCCACATCATCCTGGCTCTCTCCCGCTTCACGTTTCCCACTTTGGGAACCCTTTTCAAACGTCCCAGATCTTGCAGAGGATCTCACAGAACTGCAGCACAAAGATTACCTCAGCTGCGGCGTGTACTGATAGCACTGTGCGATGAATACCTTCACAAAGGGAGCCGTCTACTGATGGCTATCTCCAATCGGCTGCTCATGGTTCAGAAACATGATGCCATCAGGAAGTCACGCCATGCACCAGGGGGCCTAAAGTCCCCAGACCAGCTTGCAATCTGGCCACTAACTTCCTCAAGCCATTAAAAACCAAAGCAAGGAGAACTTTGCAAGGTGCAATTACCTCTCATCACCGTTCACTGCCTCGGTTCAGGCATAGGCAACCTTTAGCCCTCCAGATGTTTTGGCATACAATTCCCATCATCCCTGACCAATGGTCCTGTTAGCTAGGGATCATGGGAGTTGTAGGCCAAAACATCTGGAGGGCTGAAAGTTGCCTATGCCTGACTTACATCATAGGAGCCTACACAACACAAAACACGGTTGCTGTAGGTAGGTTTTATTTTATTTGTTTTTTACCTTATATTTTGGAAATGTACATCCAGGGTTTTTTTCCCTTTAGATTTTTGGGGGGGGGGCCCCAAGAGAGAGGGGCCCTAAGCTATAGCTTGTTTAATTTATATGTAAATCCGGCACTGGGGATGATAGGAGTTGTATTCCAGCGACAGCAGAGGCTCTCCACCGCTGCTGTGGGGTGTGGAGCAACTCAACCTTCACCAACCCGGTGCCAACAACCCGGTGCCAACTACTGCCATCAGTTGGCTGGGGCAGAAGCGATCAACTCTCCCCTCTTGCGGTTTCCAGAAACTGATATTTGGAATCATTGCTACTTCTGACTATGGAGGCATCCTGGCTAGGAGCCACTGAGTGCTCTCTCTGTGATGGCCTGGGACTCGGGCTCAGACTCGGAACCAGAGGAGTCTCAGTCCGCACCGGATCCTTTGCCTCAGGCGGCAGCTGAACCAAATCTGGGGCCTGATCCTGAAGAGTCCCAGTCTGCACAGGTCCCCCGGCAACAAACACCAGCTGGGCCGAGTCCGGGGCCTGAGCCTGCCCTGGCTCCAGATGCGGGGATGACCTTGTTGCCTCCAGCTGGGCCATCACTTATAGCTGCTCCACTACCAGTTGGGTCAGGGGAGGCTGAGACAGCCTCTGGGTCTAGTAACCCACCAACGTCTCCCAAGCTGCTGAGACTGAGGTCTGAGAGAAGGAGAGGCCTGACTACTCGCAGGAGGAGTGTTCGCCTTCGGGCGAGACAGGGAGGTGAGTCACTGGGGGATCAGGACCGGCCGTTACCCCGACAGAGATAAAAGGTGGTTGGACCCCGCCCCAGGTTGCGGGACCAACATTGCTGTTTGCCAGAACCTGCCTGAGACCCTGCGCCTGACCTTGCCTGGTTTCCTGCCTTGACCCTGTCGGACTGACTCCAAGTGGAACCCTTGGATTCGGGGCCAGACCTGGACTGCGTTACTCGAGTTACCCCCGCGCCCAGCACACTCTCCTCATCTGGGAATTGGTCCCATCCTCTTTCAAAGCTATCCAAGTGGCGGGCAAACCTGCCTCCTGATGGAGGGAGTTCTGCAGGTTAACTCTGTGCCATGTGAAGAAGGACTTTCTGTCCTCTGTCCCAAGTCTGCCAACGTTCAGCTTCGTCAGGTGTCCTGGATTTCTAAAGGTTATCGGAGAAGCTATAAGAACTTCTTAAGCTTGGGCACGCTTGGTCTAACCTGCAAAGACGAAGGGATCCAATTTCCTGTGTTCTTGCTGTGCCCATTTCCTTCCTCGCTCAACCATGCAAGCCCTGAAATAAAAAAAACTACCCGAGTTTGGCTGGGGGCTGAGCCACAGCAGTTGTGCCTGACGTCTGCAACCCGGCGAACATTTGCTCATTCACCTGTGTGGCTTCACTTCCCCTAAGAAGGACAGCATTTTGCAGCGGAGAGAGAAGTGCAACAGGCAAGTGAAACCCCTTCGCACCCTTTTTGCACCCTCAGGGGAAGCACTTTGAAAGAACAGGTCTCCCCATGGGGAAAGGGGAAACAAAGGTTGCTGGAAGGACAAGTCGGTTTGGATAGACGTTCTGCAAAAGGCGCTCATCTCAGCTTTTGTTCCTCTTGTTCCTTCCTTCCTCTCTCCACCACTCAAGGTCCAGATCCTGATGTCTCCGATCTCCTGCTTCCACTGTGTCCTCCTGGGTCTCCTGGCCACCGGTTTCTTCCCGCGAGGTGAGTCCCCCTTTCTAAAGCCCTCAGAATCCAGCCCATGCTACACAAAGCAAACAAATCACAAATTTGAAGAGCTCAGAGGGAACCCCCAGCGGTCATCTAGCCCAACCCCCCTGAAATACAGGAACCGCAGCTAAATAATCCCTGAGAGAAGGCTATCCAGACATGGGAACCATCAGTCTCCCCAGGATTCGAGTTCCATTTACTGGTCCAGGACTAGCACAGCTTCTCCTGAGATCCCTGCACTGCCCGGGGTTGTGCTAGATGACCTTTGGGGGTCCTTTCAAATTCATTCCTGACTCATGTGTAATAGAGACATGGAGCTGGGTATTGCCAGCATACTGTAAGCTGTCCCATTCCTCTGGGGGGTGTCCCTTCTGTGGGCACCGTTTGGGTCGGGGAATATATATATATATATATATATATATATATATATATATATATATATAATGTTTATTTAAACATACCATTTTCAACAGTAATTAAACATATTTTTACATCTTACTCAATATTTTTGACTTCCATCAGTCCTGTCTGAAAACTTTCCAATCTAATCTCTTAGTATACATTTCTTATTTTCCCTGTTGCGTTTAAAACTCATAACCAATATCTCTGTTCTTTATCTGCTTTGCAGCACTTCATATATTCTTCCTTACAAAACTTCTTGTGGTCCTACTACCGTAATTTGTTGGCTACAATTGCTTTTCAAATAGTTCATCTACTTCTTCCAATCTTCTGTAAGTCTCTGGTCCCGCAGGTTTCGAATCCTTCCTGTCCTTTTGTCCAATTCTGCATAGTCCATTGTTTTTGTCTGCCATTCTTCAGTTCGGGGAAACTATTTCCACCCCTCTCGCTCCAGTATTGTGTCCCTGACTATGTTTCTGTGCCCCACATACAGGCACCGAGGCGCTTGAGTGTCCCACCGGCTGGCTGCTGCACGGAGCCTACTGCTATGGAGTCTTCGGCAGTAAATTATCCTGGAAAGAGGCTGATGTAAGAGGGATGTTATTGTTGCTTGGAAGGCACCGAAACTCGTCTCGAGAGATGCTTGCGAGCAGAAAAGGGTCAGGCAGGAGGAGCTGCGTCAAGCAAAGGCCTTAGTTAGAAACACAGTGGCCTTATGATGGCCACATGGTCTATGGTTTGCTCCAAGGCAGCGTCCACAGCCCTCCCTGCCCTATTTCATCCTCGCAACCAGTGCCGTCTTTCCCATACAGCTTAGTGGTTTGTTGCACCAGGGCGATGGCCTCTCAAGGGCGCCCAGCGAGTAGGGGAGCTGCGTGGCTTTGCCGGTGGCCTCCCCTTTCCCCGAACGCCCGCCAGCAGCTCCCCGTCAAACATATGGCTGGCAGGCACGCAGCTTCCTTCCCAAGCCTCCGTGGGAGGAGGGCGATTTTGGCAGAGGCTTGGGGAAAGGTTGACAACTCTGGGAAATGGAGGGGGGGCACCGGAGGAATCTTTGCACCACGGTCGTTCAGCCCAGACACTGAGGTCCAGCTCCGAGGGCCTTCTGGCGGTTCCCTCACTGTGAGATTACAGGGAACCAGGCAGAGGGCCTTCTCGGTGGTGGTGCCCACCCTGTGGAATGCCCTCGTATCAGATGTCAAGAAAATAAACAACTACAGAGGTACCTCGGGTTACAGATGCTTCAGGTTACAGACTCTGCTAACCCAGAAATATTACGTCGGGTTAAGAACTTTGCTTCAGGGTGAGAACAGAAATCGTGCGGTGGCAGCAGGAGGCCCCATTAGCTAAAGTGGTACCTCAGGTTAAGAACAGTTTCAGGTTAAGTTAGGGCAGGGCAGGGTTGAGACTAGAAGATGACCAGGTGAAATCCACTTGGCGGCTTCCCATTAAACACCGAAGCTCCGTCCCTTCCTCCTAGAACATGGGTTGGTAAACTAAGGGCCATGCGCCGGATCAGGAACAATTGCCTTCTGAATCTGGCCTGTGGACGGTCCAGGAATTGCCGCGTGGATCGCCAGCACATGCGTTCTTTCCCTCTCCCTCCCTCCCTCTCCCATGATGGCGGCGGCGCCTCCTCCTCCCCCCCGGCTTCTCCCCGCCCTGCCTAGAGGAGGAAGGGGGCTGCGCTTTGTTGGTGCCAGCAGCAGCAGCCCTCAGGCAGCCGCCATTTTAAGCAGCCCCTCTCCGGAGCCCTTTTGTGCGCTGCTCAGCGTCCCTCCACCACCACCGCCAGCCCCTGCCGCTCGCAAGACACAGGTAAGCAGCCACTGGGGCTCATTGTGCTCTCGCATCATTCCCCCCCCCCCAAAAAAATATAGTCCAGGCCCCCACAGGGTCTGAGCGACAGTGGAGCGGCCCTCTGCTGGAAAAGTTTGCTGACCCCTGTCCTAAAAGGTAAAGGGACCCCTGACCATTAGGTCTGGTCGTGGCTGACTCTGGTGTTATGGTGCTCATCTCGCTTTATTGGCCGAGGGAGCCAGCGTACAGCTTCCGAGTCATGTGGCCAGCATGACTAAGCTGCTTCTGGTGAACCAGAGCAGCGCACGGAAACGCCGTTTACCTTCCCATCAGACCTATTTATCTACTTGCACTTTGATGTGCTTTCGAACTGCGAGGTTGGCAGGAGCAGGGACCGAGCAACGGGAGCTCACCCCGTCACGGGGATTCGAACCGCCGACCTTCTGATCGGCAAGTCCTAGGCTCTGTGGTTTAACCCACAGCGCCACCCATGTCCCCTTTTCCTTAGGACATCCTTATTTTCGTCAGAGAAATGTTGGAGGGTATGGAGTTATGTGACACCCCCCCAAAGCCAAAGAGATAAGTAGGTTGGGTATATTTAGCCTGGAAAAGCTGTTAAGCTTTTGTTTTGACAAAGTTTTTTTTAAGGAAAATCACCCAAAAAATCTACACGGGTCGCCCTAGGCCCTGGTTCCCCCCGACATTTTAAATGATGTTCGGAAATTCTGCCCTGGCACTATTTCTGGCAGACGGATCCTGAATATGTGTGGGAAATCTGAGACATATGGCAGACCTACTTAAAAAAAAGAGCGGCGTGTGCCATTCGTGGCTTCTTCAAGCGTGCAACAGTGAGCTACAAATCCAATAGTAATGAGCCCTGCTTTTTCTCTGACCAATTCAGGAGGACTGCATGGCTTACAGCAAGCGAGGACGCCTGGCCTCCATCCTCTCCTCGTCTCAGGGTGCGATGATCAGCAGCCACCTCCAGACCCTGGAGGACGAAGAGGATTTTCCGACTGGTATCTGGATTGGAATGCACGACCCCAACAAGGTGAACGTCCAATCCCAGACCTGCAGACCCCTCTCTGCCAAAGCCCCACAGGGTAGAAGGTGTGGGTCAGAGAAGGCAGGAGCAGGGAGGTGCGAGAAAGCCAAAGAGGGGCACCAGGGATAATCATCATCATCATCATTTATTATTTATACCCCACCCATCTGGCTAGGTTTCCCCAGCCCCTCTGGGCGGCTTCCAACAAAGTTTTTAAATACAGTGGTCTGTTAAACATTAAAAACTTCCCTAAGCAGGGCTGCCTTCAGATGTCTTCTACATAGAATCATAGAATCATAGAGTTGGAAGAGACCACAAGGGCCATCGAGTCCAACCCCCTGCCAAGCAGGAAACACCATCAGAGCACTCCTGACATATGGTTGTCAAGCCTCTGCTTAAAGACCTCCAAAGAAGGAGACTCCACCACACTCCTTGGCAGCAAATTCCACTGTCGAACAGCTCTTACTGTCAGGAAGTTCTTCCTAATGTTTAGGTGGAATCTTCTTTCTTGGAGTTTGGATCCATTGCTCCGTGTCCGCTTCTCTGGAGCAGCAGAAAACAACCTTTCTCCCTCCTCTATGTGACATCCTTTTATATATTTGAACATGGCTATCATATCACCCCTTAACCTCCTCTTCTCCAGGCTAAACATGCCCAGCTCCCTTAGCCGTTCCTCATAAGGCATTGTTTCCAGGCCTTTGACCATTTTGGTTGCCCTCCTCTGGACACGTTCCAGTTTGTCAGTGTCCTTCTTGAACTGTGGTGCCCAGAACTGGACACAGTACTCCAGGTCAGGTCTGACCAGAGCAGAATACAGTGGCACTGCATTTTGCTGCTGCATTACGCTGTGGGCTCATGTTAAGCTTGTGGTCCACCAAGACCCCCAGATCCTTGCTGTGAGGATTAAAGGGGGATGAGAATTATATAAGCATCCTTCAGCTCCTTGGAGGAATGGTGGCATACATATTAAATAATAACAATAATAATAATAACAACAATAATAATATCTGTCATCATCTTTACAGAAGGGATATTGGAAATGGGCAGATCTTTCGATACCGAACTATTCACCTTGGAGTAAAGAGGAGGTTTTGCCTGAACCTGGTACCCCGACAAAAGGAGGCTGCGTCTACCTGTCTGCCAGAACAGGTGAGGAGGTGCTCAGGCAACCGGGAGTCAAGGATCTCACCCCAGGGACATGTGGGGAGCAGGTGTCCCACAAGCCCCCTTCACTCCTTTCTCAATCAAAAGTCAAGTGTACCAACTCTGGCCAGTCTCAACATTTTCTGCTGGCAAAGGGGGGAACTCAACTACGACCCCCGTGGCTCTGTGTGCGAATCAGGCCAAAGTGGGACCATCTAGTCCATTGTCCAGATTCCCCCAAATTCACCTTCATCCCCACATTTCTACAGCAATTTGCAATGACCTTTTTTAAAAAAAAATCCTCGTTAAAATCTGCCAGTGTTTCACTGCACACTTCCCCCAATAAACACATATCGGGGTGCAAGTTTTGACTAAGGCACATATTCCCCCCCCCCCCGCAAGCAACCTCCCCTAATATAATGCACTTATACTTTTCACCAACGCGTTGGCTTTTATGCGCACTTGTGCATTTTTGTAAAATTTCCGGATTGCCAGCTTCAGATTGAATGTGATTTCCGAAGGATAGCTGTGTTTTGGTTCTCGTATAGCATTGGAAAGTGAAAATTCGATAGCTTCGGTTTTAAACGTGAGCTGGATCGAATTTCTCCCTCGTCCCTATCTATAAGCACCAGCAAAGCTCTGTTCCTTGGGGCAGATCAGTGCTTGGAAGGCGGGGAAATTCTCCTCTACGTTTCCGAGCACAATTCAAAGTGTTGGTGCTGACCTTGAAAGCCCTAAATGGCCTCGGTCCTGTATACCTGAAGGAGCATCTCCACCCCATCGTTCAGCCTGGACACTGAGGTCCAGCTCCGAGGGCCTTCTGGCGGTTCGTTCGCTGTGAGAAGCCAAGTTACAGGAAACCAGGCAGAGGGCCTTCTCCGTGGTGGCACCCGCCCTGTGGAACGCCCTCCCACCAGATGTCAAAGAGGAAAACAGCTACCAGACTTTTAGAAGACATCCGAAGGCAGCCCTGTTTAGGGAAGCTTTTAATGTTTAATAGGTTATTGTATTTTAGTGTTCTGTTGGAAGTCGCCCAGAGTGGCTGGGGAAACCCAGCCAGATTTGCGGGATATAAATAATAAATTATTATTATTATTGTCCTCTGGGTGAATCGTAGAATCGTAGAATTGGAAGGGACCCCAAGTTTCATCTAGTCCAACCCCCTGCAATGCAGGAATCTCAACCAAAATATGCATTCACTGTCAAGGGCAGTGTAGGTAGAGACAGTGTCTGCCTTACTTTGCTCATATCTTCTTTTTTAAAAAATGAACTTTATTATACATCAGTTAAGATCAGTTTAGGTAAAGTTAAAGGGACCCCTGACCATTAGGTCCAGTCGCAGACGACTTTGGGGTTGTGGCACTCATCTCGCTTTACTGGCCGAGGGAGCCGGCGTACAGCTTCCTTCCCGGTCATGTGGCCAGCAGGACTAAGCCGCTTCTGGCGAACCAGAGCAGCGCATGGAAACACCATTTACCTTCCCACCAAAGTGGTACCTATTTATCTACTTGCACTTTTTGGTGTGCTTTCAAACTGCTAGGTTGGCATGAGCAGGGACCGAGCAATGGGAGCTCACCCCGTCGCGGGGATTCGAACCGCTGACCTTCCGATCAGCAAGCCCTAGGCTCTGTGGTTTAAGTTTACATATTAGTAATAACATTCAACTTAAACAGTACAAACAATACATCCAATACACACTACACATATTACAACATAAACACGCCACACACACCATTGGCACTAACTTCCGATTCCTTTCATTGTGCTATTTTATGTTTTGTTAATCTAGACACATTTCATTATCATTATTTTAGTTTCCATGTCTTCCAACTGATTTTATTATATACTTTCTTTATATTCTATGGTTCATTCTATGTCTGCCAGGAGGTTAGCATTATCACAGTAATTTCTAATGTATTCGTTTTAAAATTATCCAATCTTTATTAACTTTTTGTATTGAGTTTCTTCTTATTCTGCCTGTCATCTTTGCGAGTTGTAAACATCCAATCATTTTCACTCACCAGTCCGTTTCGGCGGGGATGTTGTCACTTTTCCGGTTCTTAGCTATTAGAATCCTAGCTGCTGTGGTTACGTACATGAAAAGGGGTATCAGATTTTACTTTATTTCAGTGGGCATTATCCCTAACAGGAAGTTTTTTGGGGGGAATGAAAATTTAAGAATCTTCTTAAGTTCATTATATATGGCATCCCGAAATCCTCTTATTCTTTCACACTCCCACCACATGTGCATAAATGTACCTTTGCTCATATCTTCCAGATTTTGCAAAATTTCACATTGCACCATGCTCAGAAAAGATGAGGTACATGTGCAAGATGACGTTCGGGTGAAAGCAGCTGTCTGACTGTGTCTGCAAAGGACCCCTGGCAGCAGAAAAGCAAAAGAGCTCTTGGACAAGAAAACCGGCAAAGAATGGCCCCTTCCCAACTCCAGCACACCAGGCCCCTCTCCTTATCATCATGGGGGTTGTGGTGAGGCAAACTGGCTCCTGCTGAACCCAATAAACCATGTTTTGGCCATTCAACCGCTGACTCCTTTCTGTCCTGCAGACAAACTGGGGATGGGGAGACACAGGGGAAGGGGGTTGCGGTGGGGACGGACCGCCCCGTGGTGTCTTTGCTGAGGGGAGTGGCATTCAGCGTGCCACCTTGTTACAGTTTGTGGGTCGTAAATCCTTTGACCCACGGAGTCTGCTGCAATGGCACTGCAATAAATTTGATTTATTGCCACTCCAACAAATTTCAATGGCACCCACACGCTGCCACTCACACACTGCCACTCTTCTCAGTTGTCGGAGCACACGCAGCGTGCACACGCAGCGTAGAATGGCTTTGTCTGTGTCAACGTGGCGTCTTTAATAACTCAGCTCAACACCAGTGCTTCTAATCTATCACTCTTTATTTAGAAGCTTGTTGGTGTTGTTTAGTCGTTTAGTCGTGTCCGACTCTTCGCGACCCCCTGGACCAGAGCACGCCAGGCCCTCCTGTCTTCCACTGCCTCCCGCAGTTTGGTCAAACTCATGCTGGTAGCTTCGAGAACACTGTCCCACCATCTCGTCCTCTGTCGTCCCCTTCTCCTTGTGCCCCCATCTTTCCCAACATCAGGGTCTTTTCCAGGGAGTCTTCTCTTCTCATGAGGTGGCCAAAGTCTTGGAGCCTCAGCTTCAGGATCTGTCCTTCCAGTGAGCACTCAGGGCTGATTTCCTTCAGAATGGAGAGGTTTGATCTTCTTGCAGTCCATGGGACTCTTAAGAGTCTCCTCCAGCACCATAATTCAAAAGCATCAATTCTTCGGCGATCAACCTTCTTTATGGTCCAGCTCTCACTTCCATACATCATACTTCCATACATTTAGAAGCTTACAAAAACAGAAAAGAAAGACCTACAGAATCTAGCTGCATATTCACAGCTTTCTGTCTCTAACAAAACAAAATAACCTTGCTCACATCCTCAGACAGACTGCTCCCAGAGAGAGCTCAGCCCCCACAGAGCACAGATCAAAGGAAAATGCCCAGGTCATGTGGGCAGTGCACCCAGCGAATCAGAATGCTTCCTGGAGTGTTAACTCTTAACTGTCCGGAACCACAACACACCTGCCCATGACTCCCAAGCCCACCGGCTGATATGGTGGGCGATCTCCAATCCTTGGAGCAGCTTCAGCGACCCCAGCTTCAGAAGCTGGAGCACGCTCTATTCAGCAGAGTAAACGCTATGCAACAGAAGTGGCAGGGAGAGCCTGTGATGAGCATATTTACAAGCAGTTTATTCAGCATAAAGACCCCTGACCATTTGGTCCAGTCGTGGCCGACTCTGGGGTTGTGGCACTCATCGCGCTTTATTGGCTGAGGGAGCCGGCGTACAGCTTCCGGTCATGTGGCCAGCATGACTAAGCTGCTTCTGGCGAACCAGAGCAGCGCATGGAAATGCTGTTTACCTTCCCACTGGAGCGGTACCTATTTATCTACTTGCACTTTGACGTGCTTTTGAGCTGCTAGGTTGACAGGAGCAGGGACCGAGCAATGGGAGCTCACCCCGTCACGGGGATTCAAACCGCTGACCTTCTGATCGGCAAGCCCTAGACTCTGTGGTTTAACCCACAGTGCCACCCCCATCCCTTACTCAGCATACATCAGGACAAAAGGAAAAACATGTCTTCTCCCCTTCATGCTTCTCCCCTAAAAACATGCTTCTCCCCTAAAAACGGAAGATCCCAGCAAGCTGTGCTGGAGTGTAAACAGGCATGTGACACACAACAGTCATGCCTGTTCCTAATGTGGAATGGAATATCCCAACAATTCAGCGCACCACCTGCCCATGACTCCCAAGCCTGCCCCAGGGGAAGGGGGGAGCTGGGCTCTTTTGCCGGCGGCATTCCCCCCTCCCCCCTTCATTTTGACAGCTGGGGGAGGCTTGTGAGTCGCAGGCGGGTGGTGCGCTGAACGTCCGCCATCAGTGGCTTGCTCCGCCCCCGGCTGCAGAACACGCGCACGGCTCCGTGCCCTGCGCCCCTGAGGAGCATGCCCACCCTGGGCAGTGTGGGCATATGCTCTACTGCTGGGAAGACATCCTCAAATTGCTTAGAAATCTCCTCCACGGGCATTTCCATTAAATAATAATAATAATAATAATAATAATAATAATAATAATAAATTATTGATTTTAATATCACCAGACATCAGCATAACAAAGCAAATAACATAGATTTAAAAAAAACATTTCTAGGCATAAAATAATTCCTTCCACCTATATTGACTTCCACTCTCCCCATCACAGGTTCCAAGTTTTCTTTATCAATTGCATATTATTTGATATCTACCTTATGTTTATCCACAATATCCATCATTTGTATAACGTTGCAGGAGTCATTCCAAGCCTGCCAAAGATTTCATATGAATACAATGTTCTTTTAAATATAATCTGCATTTATCCCATTCTCTTTTGAACCTCTGATCGGATCGATTCCTGATTCTCCGTGTCATTTTTGCCAATTCTACATAATCCAATAATGTCTCCTGCCATTCCAGTTTCGTGGGTATATTCTCTCTCTTCCACCCTTTAGCTATTAGTGTTTTCGCAGCAGTTGGTTGCATGCATGAAAACCCTTTTCGGATCTCTCAGTATACCCATTACAGTGGTACCTCGGGTTACATACGCTTCAGGTTACAGAAGCTTCAGGTTACACACTCCGCTAACCCAGAAATAGTACCCCGGGTTAAGAACTTTGCTTCAGGACGAGAACAGAAATCGTGCTCCGGCAGCACGGCAGCAGCAGGAGGCCCCATTAGCTAAAGTGGTGCTTCAGGTTAAGAACAGTTTCAGGTTAAGAACAGACCTACAGAACAAATTAAGTACTTAATCTGAGGTACCACTGTATACCTAAGAGAAAGGCTTCAGGTCTTTTGACAAAAGCTAAATTTAAACTTTTTTTTTTTTTAATTCATCGTAAATGATTTCCCAAAATCCCTTTATCTTTTTGCAATTCCACCACATATGACACCTGGCACACTCAGCCTCTTTGCATTTCCAGCAGATGTTGGAGCTGGTTCTATACATTTTCGACCTCCACGGGATTTGCTTTCCCTTGAGCAACCCTTTACCTGCTCTGCACAGAAGCTCTCCTCGCGGACTCATAGAATCATGGAGCTGTAGAGTTGAAAGGGACCCCCAGCGCTCATCCAGTCCAACCCCCTGCAATGCAGGAATCACAGCTAAAGAACCCCTGAGAGGTGGCCATCTGTTTCAAAACCACCAATGAAGCAGAATCCGAGACCAGGGAGAAGAGTCGATGAAAGAAGACTGGAAGAAATTTAAAGACTATTTACAGAAATATTGTAAAATTAAGGAATCTTAGAAGGGTGTTGGATAGAAACTAAGAGGTTTTTAGCTGTAATGCTTTAAGAGATATGAAAAAAGGTTTACAATTGGGTAAAAGCTTAATGGTAAGGATTTGCTGAACTAACAAATTGAACTGGAATACAAAAAAGGGAGGTATGAGGAGGTCCGGGGAAATAAATGTAGGGAAGATAGGTTATGGAAAATTAATGTCTTTTTAACTGTTTTATTTTGTATGTTTCTTTTTTATTCTTTACTTTTTTGTTATATTTTAAAAACTTTATTCTTTTTTCTGTATTTTGTATTTCTTGTATTTTTTGAAACTTTAATAAATATCATTTTAAAAAAAAAACAACCACCAATGAAGGAGTCCAGCCAGTGCCGGATTTATGTATAAGCTAAACAAGCTATAGCTTATATATACCCTCTTAAAACCCCACTCTCTTGGGGGGCCCAAAAAAAATTTAAAGGAGGGGGGGAAACTGGATGTACATTTCCAAAATATAAGATAAAAAATGGCAGGCAGGCTCTTTCCTGGACTCCACCTCTCAGGCCCTGGACACTTGGCCTGGTGCTCCTGAGAACCCAGCGCCCGGGTGCCCTGCGCCCCTGGTGCCTATGCTTAAGACGGCCCTGGTAGCCATTCAGGAAACGGAAAGTAGGTTGGTTTGCATTGAGAAGTGGATTCGGCCCACTCTGCCTACTTGTCAAGTATGGGAGTCCGCCCTCTCCCTCCTGGTAGCTCATGGATAAGAATTAATGAGCAGCATCTGCTAGATTTATAGTCTTTTTATGGCAGTATCATGCTGTGAACACAGATTGGCATCTCTCTGCAAGGATCAGAGTTGCTTGCACTGGATCAGAGTTGCTTGGAAGGGCGTTCCACAGGGAGGGCGCCACCACCAAGAAGGCCCTCTGCCTGGTTCCCTGTAGATTTGCTTCTTGCAGGGAGGGAACCACCAGAAGGCACTCAGAGCTGGACCTCAGTGTCCGGGTAGAACGATGGGGGAGGAGACGCTCCCTCAGGTCTACTGGGCCGAGGCCATTTAGGGCTTTAAAGGTCAGCACCAACACTTTGAATTGTGCTCGGAAACGTACTGGGAGCCAATGTAGGTCTTTCAAGACCTATGTTATACGGTCTCAGCGGCCACTCCCAGTCACCAGTCTGGTTGCTGCATTCTGGATTAGTTGCAGTTTCCGAGTCACCTTCAAAGGTAGCCCCACATAGAGCGCATTGCCGTAGTCCAAGCAAGAGATAACTAGAGCATGCACCACTCTGGCGAGACAGTCCTCAGGCAGGGAGGGTCTCAACCTGTGTACCAGAAGGAGCTGGCAGGCAGCTGCCCTGGACACAGAATTGACCTGTGTCTCCATGGACAGTGGTGAGTCCAGAATGACTCCCAGGCTGCGCACCTGGTCCTTCAGGGGCACAGTTACCCCATTCAGGATCAGTGATTGCCCCACAACAGCCCACCACCAACTGAGCTGAGTCTCTCCCCTCCCCTAGCTGCAGGGGACTGAAATAACTTAATGTCTTGAAAACATAAAGCCATTGATCGATTCCAGCTGCCAAGTCCCATTTCTCTGTCCTTCCTGGTACCTGGATCACTGCTCAACCATGAGAACATGAAAATGCACATTATCCGAGTTTGATGTAGCGTTGAAAC